ATTAAGTGGTTTACCTAAGGTCGCATAAAAGGTCTTTAGCAGTCAGGAAACCAAAGTGCAGGTCTCCTGACTCCCAGTTTAGGCCCTTAACCACTAAGAACAACCTTCCTCTCAGATGTGTATATTATCTGTGTACACAGAGAGATAGGGTTAGTATATGATTTATATTTATACGTTGGCAATAACATTTGAAATGATGGGCAATTATACTGGATACCAGCAGACTCCTAGTGAATCATGAAGCACAAGGTCAAAGGCCAAACTTCTTCAATACAAGCAAACTGCAGGTATCCGGCATAACTGCACCTTTGAAACACATTATTGCTGAGATGAAATGTATTTTCATTCATTTATTGTTACAGCTGGTTATTTGGTTTATACCATTATGTTGGTTTCTACATGCACCGTCAAGAACTTTCTTCATCCATTCGGCTTTCATTTTAAATATACAGTGCTGCTGTTATTCAAATTAGTGTGCTTTGAGGTTGTGCTTGTGTCTTTTGGGGGAAATGGTGTGTTCTTTCATTTTGCTTGAGTCTGAGATTTGTATATGTATGTGTGTGGAGTTATATTGCAGACTTTATGGTGTATTCATTTAATGGCAGTTTTTGTATGGGGCAGAATAAATGATAAAAATATTGCACTCCTTCCCAAAGAGCCATAGCAAGAAATTCTACAAATAGATCATTTAAGTTTTTTCCCTTGCTCCTTCCTTCCCCTTATTCCTCCCATCAACAGAGTGTGGGGATATAGAGTGAGAAACTGTGAGCTATCTCCAGAGAGTCTGGCTGCATTTTCATTTGTTAACTCCAGCATTCTCAGGGAGGTAGCACAGAATTTTACCAGGAGATACCCAGTTTTGGCTGAAGTCTCCCATGCTTCATCCATTTCCATCAAATCTCTGTTTTCTACTGCCATCTCCTTCAGGCTTTCTTCCTGAATTAGGGCCTGATCGGTAGTCAGTTGATGTAAATGGAAATATTTCCATTCACTTTAATGAGCTTTAGATGAGGCCAGTAGTGTTCATTACCATTTGGATCCATTAGGGTCAAAAAGTAGAGCTTGCGCAGTGGTATGCTACTTACTGTGCTGGGTGGCAACCCTTCTGAAAACCTCAGGACTGCTGTACCATTTACAGAAAGACCAGCAAATCCCTTCTGCATTCACTTTGCACATAGTTTTTTTGGGGGGGGAACTACAGTAGTGCAGTAGAATCCTCATACTTCGGCGTGTAAGTTGATCAGAAGTGGGGGATAGAAGTACAATAGTGACTAAAAGCATGAATGTTTCCGATCTTGCTTAGCATTAATGACAGACTTATGTTGCACTGCCAACACTCCTCCCTTTTACACCAGACTCTCTAGCCAGCCCAGTTTCAGAAAATATCCAGCTTTTCAGTCTTTCAGCCTTAACAGTAATGAAAGGGAAGAAGTACATCAGGAAGAGAAGATTCTGCAGATGCCAAACATCACCTATTACTGTTCCCAGGGGGTAGTTGGTGGACAGGGAACAGCAGTACCCTTTGCTAGCTGGTGAAAGAGAATCTTCTCCTGGGGCCAAGTGACAGTGACATGGCATCCATTTATATTTTTCTTCAAATTCCCAATCTCTATTTCTTGGAGATAGAGAGTGCTAAAAGGTTGTTTTCATGCTACTAATCCACATCTATAGTCAAACACACAATATGATGCATAAAAGTGTTTGTGTGTGTGTGTGTGTGTGTAGTAAAAGATTTTCGTGCTACTAATCCACATATATAGTCAAATACAAAATACAATGCATAAATCAGGGGAGGTTCTAAAAGGTGTGTGTGTGCACACACGCGTGTGAAAAATGATATGTACCTGGTGGCAGGGTACAGGGGGCTGATACTGGAGTTACCTGGACAGAGTCAAGAAGATGCCTTGGCTTCATTTATTCAAGTTGTTTTGCAGACATTGTGTCTCCAAGAGGACCATTAATAACCAGGATGCTGGGAGAAGGTTACACATCTAAAAGATCATCAAGCAGGGTACAAATTATTCATAGTTCAAGGGTCTGCTCTGGGTGCTAACTGAGATTTTGGTTAGCCATCTTTTCCTTAAATCCTGAGACTTTCTTATAGAATGTTTTTTTGTAGATTACATAATGAGAAATCAGATTTTTTTTAAAAGAGTACTTAATTCACAGTTGTGTCTTTTTTGCCATTTGGGGGCCTGGTCCAGTATACTTACACATATCAAACTCCAGTTGCAATGTAAATTTTGGTATGCAAGAAATGCAGGATTGGGGTCGTCATAATCATTCCTTGACCCTTAGGTTTCTGGGGGAAGCGGGAGATAGGATGTTGTGATATTTTTCTCTACTTTCCAAATAAGCTTTGAAAATACAAACATGGATTTGCTAAGCTTTATTATCTAGATGTGTATTTGCTTTTGGGAATTGGTATGGAGAGTGTTTGCTACATAATATCCTCTCTCAAGACTAGTGAGTAACAAAATTCTAAATTTTCAGTGAGAAAGAGAGAGAACGAATTTATCTGATATGATGAGACATTTTCTTGTATATTATATATTTTGCTGTATATTTTTACCTTTTTATTAAAATAAAAAGGTAATTGACAAAAATCAGGTACAAATATTTTAGCTTACACACAGTTTTGGTATGGGTTTTAAATGAGGTTTTACAAACAAATAAGTTATAATGATATATTGAAGTAAAACACGTTCTAATAAAAGAAACCCTGCATAATAACATTTTTATATTTATAAAGCATATTTCACATCAGAGGATCTCAAAGTTCTTTAAAAATTCTGGGCCATATTTTGGCTGGGAGGAAATGAAAGGTGTGCAAATAGGCCCATAGGAGAAGTCAACATAAAAGGGGGAAATGAGCATCAGTAGCACAAACCACATAGTTTGAAAAAGGTGCTGTGTAGGAAAGGGAGTGGTTGAGGGACAGATGTCTATGTGGCATCATCTCCTGGCATATCTGTGGGAAACTATTTGCCACTTTAATGCTGACTCTGTCAGAACTAACTCCTGTGGGTTCCTGGTTCATGCTGTCAAACCCTCTTGGGTGAGGGAGTGGCCTTAACATGGGTGAGAAAGACATAGCAGCATACATCAAGATTTCCACATGGATTTTGGGATATCTACACATATTGAAAACCATTCTCTTTGCTCCCATTTATGGTCCTGCAAACCTCTTTCAGATTGCATGACGAATTAGGAATTTCATGAGATGAAACAAAGAGTTTCCTGTGCAATCCCACCTCCTCCCTGGGTTTCTTCCACAAGAGTTATGTGATACAGACTTCTCTCTCTATAGAATCACTTAACTGAAGCCACTTCTCTGGTGGAGGACAGCAGTGAACTGGCACTGGCATACTTGTAGGAGATATGGAAATTTGCTTAAGGACACATAGAAGCCCTCCAGGATTTTTTAGGGACAAATGTTCAAGGGTGTTTCATACTAGCCTCCTTTGTCATTCACTAACTCTTGCAAATTTCTCAATTTATCATTTGCATGTGTTAGGACTTACATGTGGACAGTAGATGATAATGCTTAGAAATATGGGCAATTAGAAGTATGTGCAAGAATTTGTGACTCCACAAATAGAGACTGTATTTTGAAAATGTAGCCCTTAATGTCCATGCAGAGTAGAAAGAAGGGTTTTTTTAAGGTCTCATCTGAAAGACTCCAACATAATAAATGGCATGGAACTACTCAATTCATCTACCTTGGAAGGAAGAAGGATTGAGTCAGTCCTGCTGGGATTTGAACCTGTGGTTCCAGGGAGTCTAGTTATTCCAAATCTGTGGGTTAGACCACTAAACCTCAGGCCCTCTGGTGAATAGTTTGTGTTATTTTTATAAGAATGTATGTGGCTAATGTAAAATTATTAGGGGAAGAGCCATGAATTGCTATGTGAATACTGTAGTATAATTATTGCTTTTTGTTTGTATTTCTGGAATAGATTCATATAAAAACTTTAATTGTGCTACAAGATATAAAATGTTCTGAGGACAGTAACATAGTTGAATAGATTTATTATTACATTAACTCAATATATCTCCAGAGAAATGGATTTTCTGAGCATGAAACATTTTCCTGGAAGTCGAGCATTCGTGGCATATGTAGAAATGTGTAATGGAAACACTTTTCCAAAATTTTCTTTGCTTATAAAAGAAAATCCCAGACAGATCTTCCCAAAATATAGAGCCATCATTAATAGGGGTAGTTAGTGTAATCAGTATTTTAACACAGTGGTCTTTTTATTAGGAACTGGTTGCATCACCAAACATGGTCTTATTATCCTCATCCTCATCTGCTATAGTAGACATTAAACATGTATTATTGTACAATAAAACAATGTTCTTAAAGTTGTTTTGTGGTATCCAGGAAAGGTCAGATTGAACTGTAAGAAAGCAAATGAATAAGATTTCATTAATATAATTTACCATTGAGAGTTTTCCTTTATTTCTTTGTATTAAATAAGCATACATGCATACACATGGTAATGTGGAACTAGAGCTAATATTTTATAAGAAATAAGGATCAAATTAAATTCCATTCCAATAACACCCCTGAACTGAGCTGTGGCAAGATGAATGGGGGGGGGGGCTTCAAAAATCATCAATGAGATATAAAATGTCTCATTGAAGCATATTACTAAATCCTTCATCACAAGAGGCAGATGTTTAAAACAGCCTTTGTATTAATCAAAAAAGCTAATCTTAGAAACTTTGTCCCAGTGAGTGAGGCTTGGCAGGTCAATGAACACATTGTGCTTGCAGAATGTCTGCAGAGCTTCTGCTGAGGCTCTCGCATTTCTCTTTTAAGGGCTTTGGTGAGGTTAGGAGAAGGGAGTAAGCAACATGTAAAAGTGTGTGTGTGTTTAGATGTCTTTAAATGGATAAAAAGGTGGAGGAATGTATGGGTCCTTGTCTGTGGTGGAGATGATGATAGTAACCTGATAACACCAAGTTAATTACTCTTTTTCCTGTTTGCCTCACAGGATGTGACATGTGTGCTGATAATCGCAACGGTGAGTGCCCCATGCATGGGCCACTTCACTCTCTGCGCCGCCTAGTGGGCACTAGTAGTGCTGCAGCCGCAGCACCTCCACCTGAGATCCCTGAATGGCTCAGGGATCTTCCCCGGGAAGTGTGTCTGTGTACCAGCACTGTGCCTGGTCTGGCCTATGGCATCTGCGCTGCTCAGAGGATCCAGCAGGGCACATGGATTGGGCCTTTCCAGGGAGTTGTCCTTCTGCCGGAGAAGGTTCAAACGGGAGCCATCAGGAACACTCAGCACCTCTGGGAAGTAAGTCATCTTTCTGTTCCTTATAGAAGTTTGATTTTCTCAGAGTGTCATTGTATGTAGGACATACAGTTTAGTTCCTATGTACATAATGGCTAGATTGATCTGACCCCAAAGCCTCCACAATGGATTTAAATGTGTAATCAGTAATATATACCTGAAGGACTTGCCCACACTTTCTCCAGTTGAAGGTACCATTGGCAAACTAATGGGAACCTTAGAACTACACCTAGTTTGCATAAAAAAGAGGCAGATTGCTGCACATTCTCTTATCTTTAATATGGAGATATGGCCTGAGGCGGCCATAGTCCCAACATACAGTACTTCTTTCATCTTTATCCAAGTGGCTGCAGCCCAGGGAGATGATTGGTGCCAATATGTGTTGCTCCATCTTGATTTGAGTGGAGGGCACTTAGTTTGAGATGGCACATTGCATGCTCAGACCAGTCATCTTTGTGGCCTGGAAATGTGATGGGACTCAGTTCCTGTTTTTTACACTCCCATGTTAAAGATGAGGGTAATCACCAACACTTAGAACTCTGGGCCACATTTGCACTAGTGTGCTTAGTTCTGACCATCTTTCCTGTGGTCCTGTAGGCAGCATCCTTGCTCAGAATCCAGGTTTAGTTTTTTGTTTGGCAATTCCTTCTTAGTAGCTATCCTCTTGAAAGGAGGAATGCAATGCTATTTGGCAGTAGACACTGACGATCCGTGTAAAGGCATTTTAGGATTTGGAAGCTTGGTGTAGTTTGGATGAACGTTGGCTGTAGATTCCAGGTTGGTTTAAGAAATCATAAAATCTATATTGCACTTGGTCTTACAGGCGCTTCCCCAGTCACTATTCTGCTATAACTCAGGGTTTGCGGGTGCAGCACCATTTGAGGAATGCCTATTTTCAGAAGTTTAATATTCAGCTGTACAAATGATCTTCAAGTTGAAAGTTAGCATCTGTATTATGCTGGCCAGGAAGCTATAATTTTTACACAGATGATAAATGATTGTGTCGAGCAGTTTTGCATTTTGGTAAGTTAGTTTAAAAAAAAAGAAAACAAAGTGTGCTGATTTTAGACAGAGCTTTAACAATAAACAGCTAACAAAAGTATCCTCTTCCCTCCCTCATCATGTCCCAGTATTTATTGAATTAAGTGTTTATTATAAAAAGAGGAATGGCATTCTGACCTCCCTATCCTTTTGCCATTCATTTCTCCTTAATTCATAACATAATTTCTGGGGTATTTTTGTCCCTTGAATTTTAAAAACAGTTTTGTTTTGTGCTGGAAAATGTCAGGCCTGATTCTGTAAGTCCTCTGTGGAAAGAACTCCCACTGAAATCAAGGGGAGTGACATCTGAAGAGAGTTGGTACGACTGTGTCATTCGTCCAGAAGAGGAGGAAGTATTTGCGAAATCAGTGGCTCCAACCCTGCACCTAAACAAGCAAAATCATCATTGTTAACTTGCTGAGATAGTGAAGTTAGAGAAGTGTTTGCTAGTTAGGGACCTGATCTAAAGTCCACTGAAGAGAATGTGAATCTTTCCATTGACTTCAGTGAGCGCTGCATTAGTCTCCAAGTGTATTTTCAACTGTCATAGGATTTTTACTAGATGTTTGGTATTATGGATTCAAACATGGAAATATGTACTGTATTCATTCTCAGCAGATCTGTAAGCTCTTTGAGTCGGGGCCGTCATTTTGTTATGTGTTTGTACAGCAACTAGCACGATCATAGTTGACTTGGGTTCCTGAACACTACCACAATACAAATAAATAATTATATACCGAAGGCCTTTTTCTACAGTTCTTACAAAACCTGCCATTGAGGCCACTGAGAGTTTCACATAAAGGCTGAAAGATCAGCCCCAGCAAGTTTCAAAATGCATTGGGTGAAATTCTGGCCCTATTGAAGTCAATGGGAGTTTTGCCAATGACTTTAGTGGGGTCAGAATTTCACCTATTTTGCATATTGGGTCAAATCTTGTTCCAGTTGAAGTAAATTGCAAAACTCTTATTGACTTTTATGGGAGCACATTTAGGCACATTATTCATACTCATTTATAAAGCATACACTGTAATGTTGCAACAGGACTTGATACTATTTCTGACATAGTATTGGTGGTTTATATTGTCTTAAACTGAAGAATATGAAATAATAAAATTTAGGGGTCAGATTTTCAACTTCTGTTAATCATCAGTTCAAGTGAAGTCACTAGAATTAAGATATTTTACACAAGTTGAGATTTCAGCCCTATATATTTACATAATTAATTTTTTCCAATATTTTGATTCTTTAGTTAGACTCCGGTCATGTTTTATGTAAGTTAAGTTTTAAATATTGACAACTTTTTTCAAGGTGACCATTTTTTAGCCTAATTTCAAGTTCACTTAAATATTGTGGTTTTGAAAGGTCAACTGAAATGTGCGTGTTATTGTGTCCTCTGATAGAGACACTGGCAAAAGACAGTGTGGGGAGGGAAACAGAGAGGAAATGGAAAAATATTTAGTGAAAACCAGAGAGCAATGGGAGGTGTAGGGCAGGGAGAGCAGAGAACAGAACAGAAAAAAGTGTTAATGAAAAAATAAATTCTGTGCCGATGTAAATCCCAAATACTGTCTAGTTACGAGTGTCACCTGAGCTTTGTGCTGGTTTGTTCTTCTATCCCAACCACATTGTGCAGGCTTCCTTTATGGCAAAAAGATGATGTGTGTGTGTACATGTGTGTGTGCGTGCGTTGCGTGTGTTTTGAATTGAACAATCTTGGAAAGAAAAATAGGTTGGGGCAGGGAGACTTATGAACTCAGACTATTTCTGCAAACGCAAAAAGAAAATGCAAGGATCACAAAACCTCCAAATTTTGGCTATTCTTCGTTTATTTTGACCCTCAAAATGGTAGTTTTTATTTTCTGAATACTGATGTTTACTAAAGAACAAATATAGCAAAGGAAGGAGACCAGGAGGAGATTGCAGTTTTACAAAGTGATTTCTGTGAATAAATATAATGTGTTTGAATAATCTATATACTTTTAGTATATCTCATATAATAAAATCAGATAATAAAAATTAAAGGATCATCATTGTCCTTTTATAAAAACATGGCTGTAGTTAATTCCCTTCCATCTCCGTTTTAAAATCAGATTCAAATGTAGAAGTGACTACAGATGAGTATTCAATATTAAAGTCCTGATGGATCTTAGTGAGGTAAATATCTTTTTTTTTTCAGTACTCTAAATAGATTTCTAATATTTTTTTCTCTGGCATTGCAAAGTTAAATTGATGGATTTTTGTTTCAATTTACAGCTCTTTATTGTTTTCAGTGTGTGCTAAATAAACCGAAGAGCTATTCCAAAAACTATTAAGCATAGATACAGATTTGGTGCTTTTTTATTTCCTTTGCTGTGGCAAACATCAGAATCATTGCATTTGATATATGGTTCAAAACCATGGAAATATTTTTTGGTTTGTCTGCATGAGTGCTCTCACAATGCAGTCAGTGTTTGCTTTATATGTAATCCATATAGCTCAATGTACAGCAATTCAGAGTAAATTAAATACCATTCCATTACCTCACAACATGTCTTGACATCTATGGGTGTTCATGGGAAATTATAGAGTTCTTTAGCAATTAGTCAAGATAATTTTGTATAGCCTACAGTAAGATCAGATCTTCAGAAAGCCAAAAATATTAGTCATTTTGGTTGTGGTTGTTTCTCTTCCCTCTCCACATTTCCCCCTCCTTCCCCACCCCCCGCCCTTTGGTCCACTTCAATCTAGATACAATAAACTCTGATTTGTTTAAAAGGAAAACAGTACTGAGTGTATTAAGTAAACATTCTCTTTGGTAATACAGGCATTTATTCCAACAGTACTTGATAACTTTTCTGATGTTTTTTTTCATCTTGAAGTAATGGGAACAATCCTCTTCTAATGTTATTGAAAAGAAAACAGAGACTTTCTCAGCAATTAGGTCTTATTGATGAGAATGAGATAATTTTCCCTTAATGTGTTTTCTAATAAAGAAGTGAAAAGGCACACTTGATTCTAACATATATGAAAACATTATCTCAATTATTAATGTGTCCTTATTCCCTAGAGATAAATTAATCTAGTTGCACATGGTTTCCCCTTTCTGTTTAATATCAGAATTTAATAAGACTAGACTTAAGGAATGCATACGGGATACACTTAAAATTCTATTGAAATAAAATACAGAAGTTTTAGTAGTTAAAGTTTTTCAGACTCCATAAATCCTAGAAATAACTGAACGATAAATGGATCTCTTCCTCAAAAAATACTTAATAGAAGAACCATTTTGATCACTTAGATGAAGCAAAGTTTTACTGCAATTGCAGCGATAGTTATATTGAAGGACTGAATCTCATAGTTGCCTTTTCCTCTTTATACTGGTAACATTTTGCCTCCATCAGTGTTATATGCTGGAAATCAGTTAAATTGTTCTTGAGATATCAACTACATTGCTATACTTCATTGTGGTTTGATTTTATGTCATAATTTTAGATGTAGTTTAAAATTTTGCTTTTATGTGTAGATCTTACCTTTTATATCTGTTAGTTTTATTTAGAGAGGTGAATAAAAATATACACATAAAATGAGATTTATTAATAATTGCAAAATGCTAACACAGTAGTTCTGTTTTGCCCTCAAGATGGACAGAATTAATTGGCAGTAGTATAAGGACAAATCCTCCTGTCCTTTCAATGTGGTACGATATGTCTGTGTGTTGTGCTCCCATTGAAGTCAATGAGAATTTTGCCATGGACTTCAGGGAGAGCAAGATAAGGAAATATAATGAGACATATATTAGCCAGACCCCACACTGTACACATTTGTATGTATTCATCTATAGAAAGAACCATTACCTTTAAATTAAGAACTCATTCCAGTTATAGTGATACATATGCATTCATACTCTCAAAGCTATAGTTTTGGCCTAAATTTGCCTGATACAGAAAAAGCACTAGGGGATAGAATTATGCCATAGTTCTATT